AGAGCCAAGAAGCATTGTCCTTGTTCTGGGGGAGGAATGCTGGAAGCAAACACCTTCCAGGCATCCATACCTTCCCGTTATTCCACAAAACAAATGCCCCAAACTGAGAATACATCAGGGACTGCAACATCTGCCCCCCCCACAAAAATGCCCTTTTGACTTTAATGCCACCCTCATGCAAGAGAAACGAAACAAAACCAGGGCTTCCTTCCATCTAGAAAGCAGCAAAATGAAACCTCTTCACAGCATCTGCTCTCTCTTTCTCTGCCACAAAACAAGACAACACAGCAGGGCAAACCTCTTCACGACCCCAGTACTTGGTTTCTGAAAAGCACGCCATGAAAGGCAGGGTGCTTTTGGGCACAGCTTCCCCCCTAAGGAGGATTCCATAAACCAATCTGGGTACCATTCCCTGTGAACATGTGGAAAATGATGTTTTTGTCGAGAGGAACACTCCCCGCGTCTTTGAGCCATGCTGTGGGATCTGGTGCCTCCCTCTCAACCTGCGTATTTACGGCGGCCCACATATCTTGTGCTGATCAAGGAGCATCCTGGAACAAGAGGATGATGATGATGCCATCCATCGGCTAGTTTTTATGCAGCAGATATGAGATCCCCACGCACCACAGCCTAGCAAAAATGGCACCGGCCACCTCCGTGAACCTCTTATCGAGGCACAGATCTTCACATGGCAGCACCATGTGCATCCGTTCTGGTTCGAAGCAAACAGCACTTTTGCAATCTCTGCAGGACCCCACGCTAGAACAAGGCTCATGTCTTCGTGTGTACAGATGTGCTATTAGAGTTTGTGCATGTTTGCCCTGTGTTCATGCACACATGCACAGAGGTAGCCGAATCATCTCCCGCCCACCCCCTTCCATTCCTGGTAACCATTTGCTGTTTCTGTTGCTTCCCCGGCCGCATCCAGGCCCCACAATTTCTGCATTGTTCTGTGTGCCTCGTAACACCGTCATTACCTTTGTCATTAAAAACCCTGGACTCCCAAACACAAATCACTCCCCAGTGCAGCTCTCGAATCTTAACACAGAGCCCGCAACGCACAACAGCCCATGTTTCGTACAGAAGATCGTACGCATCAATTGATCCGGCACAGCCACACCCTCCTTCGATACAAAATAATGCAGATTACTTTTCCCCTTTTTCTTACGAAAACTGCTTTTCAGCCAGTCCAGTAAAGTACGGTGGTTCAGAGACGTTAAAAAGCATATATTTGTGATAATATAGCCTGTGTTTGTACTCTCAGAACCTGTCCCAACAAAATTAGCGACCTTCCTCTATGGAGAGACTTCTGTGGTTTCTATAAGAGAGTTCTTTCTCCCCAGAATGAGCCACACACACACACACACACACACACACACACACACACCCAAACCGGCCCTTTGCCCGCATTTAGCAGTGTTTCACACCATCGCCAGGCACAAATCAGCTGCTTGGAATCTGGATGCATTGGTTCCCAGCCTGCAGTGAGCTTGTTATTTGCAAGCTCTCTCCCATGCACAGGTCTGAACATCTTGTACTTTGCCACAAACCATCCTAGCTGTGGGTCAGTAGTGCTAAGCAAAACAACAACAACAACACACACACACACGGGCCAATTTGCCGTGGAACATGCACAGCAGTGTGAGGAAGCTTCCCAGCAAGACACAAACACACACACACACACACACACAATCAGACCAAAGGCCCTTTTACACTCAGCCTAAGCCAGTCGGAAAACAAATGGCCTCAAATTTCCCCCAGGCTCTTTTGTGGGGGGAGGCTTCATACTCTCAATTAAGCTGTGTTACCTAGAAGAATCAACTCCTTGTCTATATATATATATATATATATGGTCTTTAATCTGAAGATACCAACACTGTTATTGCCATAGCAAATAAAGACCCCTTAACTCATCTGTGTAGCTCAAGAAACCACGGTAGTAGTAAGCTGATTTAACGCGGGTGAAACGTACTCGTGTGGGACTCCTGCTCCTTTATCCTGAGATTACCCCAAGGCAACCCTGTGAACATCCAGTGCCCCGCTCCATGCGCACAGGAAAATGGCATATTTCCTACTTTTTGCCTTCTCAAACGCTTCACACGCACACATCGGTCAGACAGCACCACCACAGCCTTAAAGCCTGCCTTCTCTTCTAACTGGCCAATCTGCAAAACCCTACCTTCATCCCAGCTTTAAAGGGTGTTTTCTTGCAGGGAGGGGGGGAAAGGGAAGGTTGTGGTGGGACCCAGTACTACAAATATCTTAGAAAGGGTTTTATTAAATAAAAGAAGACATCTCACCACGGGGGGGGGGGGGAGAGGAATCTAGGTTATTTTCCTTTTACCGAAGAAAAATGCCGGAAAAGCCTAATCACTTCCTCATAATTCAACTTCTCCGGTTTCGTTGCCACAGTTTTAAATAACATGTTGTTACCCAAACTGAGCTGAGCTTCTAGGAGGCAATCGTGTGTGTGTGTGTGTGTGTGTGTGTGTGTGTGTAAAAGACAAAGAGAGAGAGAGAGAAAATACGACTTATTTATGCATATGAATATGCCTTTAAGACTGTTTATTTAAATGTTCCAGCTTTGGGCTTCCTCACTAACCCTCTCTCTCTCTCTCTCTCTCTCTCTCTCTCTCTCTGCATGCCACTGGAGGCAAGCTGTTCCCTGCCACCAGAGAACATTCGCAGAGGGGAAACTTGCATCAATTAATTAGTGAAATGTTTGCACAGGCAGCTCTCTCTGGATGCAAAACGTACAGCGAAGTTGCTAAGTATTACCCTGGAAGGCAAGGAGGCCTGGGGAGGCGGTGGAGGAACAACCACAGACACCAGGCAGGCATGCAACACTCTTTTAACATCTAGCCTGTTATTCAACACAACAAGCACTTCCCGAAACATCTCCACCCACAGTTAACCAATCCATCGCCTGCACCTCCCTCCAAGCGGTTTGGGCAGAGGGGAAGTTTTCTCTTAAGTCATGTCAACACAGCCTCAAGCATCCCAGTGGGCAAAAAGCATCCGTCTGCTTCCCCCCCCAGCCCCCCCCCCCGCAGGAAGCACATCACAAAAAACACCACCGCTGGTTGCACATTACCTGTGTGCCTGCCCCTTCACTACTACCATTCGCTCTCCTCTTTCCACCAACACCAACACCGCTGAGCCACATACGCAGCCAGCTGTCAACACCGTCTAACCTCACGCACGCCCAGCTGTCGCTTCCACAAACCCCCACAAACCTCCACCCTGTTATTACAGCGTTTTGCATGTCATGAGCGATATGCCTGAAACTGCAGAAGCCTTAAGGGGACCAGAGGCCAAGGAGAGAGCAAGGCTCCTGTGACTTTCCTTGCAGGTGCCTGGGAGAGGGAGGGTCTTTCAGTCAAGGTCTACAGAGCAGCACCCACCGAACGCCCCCGAGGCTCTCTCCTTTGCCCAGAAGTTTGGTGAAAACAACCACACAACCCACCAGCCCAGCATTCCTCCACTGGCTCCTACGTTCATCAACCCTCTCTTTGCAGATGTAAGCTCCACTTCTACAAAACTCCCCACTGTACCGCTCCTCTTGCTCTCAGCAAGGCTGCGGTATTGTAAGTGCAAAATGAGAAGCGGACCTTAAGCCTTGGATTTCCTGGGGCAAGGGTGGGGAAGAGGGTCACACAGTACTGTATTTCCTTTTCTGCCCTTTCTCTCTCTGTCTGCACATACACACAGAGCTTTTTTTAGGTAAGGAAGAGCCCAAGCAAAACGGGAGAGGAGGTAGTGATAGGGATTCTGACAGGGCCATAGCTATGGGGCTGGGGTCTAGCTGGATTTCTGCCCCAGGTGAAGCTTCCTAGGGGTGCCATTGAGGCTCCCAGCCTGTGTGTGTACGCAGATGTACATGGGGGGGTGTCCCCCAAAGTGGAGTCTTTGACCTGGGTGAAATAAAGCCGTGTTTCGCCCCTGGACTGTGCCATGAAGCAAGGAGGGAGCGTTTCCTCCTCCTCTACCAGAAACTCACCCGTAGGCCTCAGAGACAATCCCCTCGCTTCTCACCGCCTCCGCACCGAACTGCAACGCAGGCACAGTGACACTGGCCTACCTTGCAAGGCTGTTGTCAGGAGCGCAAGCAAGATAACCAACGGCAAGCCCTACCGACTACTCCATGCCCCTGTACAAAAGCACTGCTCTGGCTTATTAAAACACCTGGGTATTTTAATATGGGGAAGTTAGAGAGGTTGCAATACCCCTTTCCTTGGCTAACCGGGAAAGGAGCATGGCGTTTTCCAAATGGTAAACAAAAAACAAGCCCAACGTTGGAGGTGTCTTGGGTTGTTAAACTTGGGGAGAGGATGCCTGGCGTTGCAAAGACACCTGCTCTTCCCCCCCCCCCGGAGAGTTTCGGGGATCAGCTAGGAGCCCGTGCCCACCTAAGAAGTGAAGGAATCTAGGGATGGATGGGGTTGGAGGAGATCTGGGGACTGTTCTCATCTCTTGAACCGGGAGGTGTTTCCGCCTGGGAGGAGGAGGAGGAGGTGGGATCTAAGGATGGAAACAACCTCCCTCCCTCCCTCCCGCCCCTCCTCCTCCTCTGTTTACCTCAAGTTTGAATTTTATCTGCGCAACATTAGCTGGAATGCGGACATCGCGGGGGGGGGGGCGAGGCGCACGCACGCCACGCCGCCCGCAGGAGAGGCGCCCGCCGAGCCCGGTGCGCCCGGAGCCCCGCGCGGAAGCAAGCGCCGCCGAGCAGCGCCACCGCCACCATGGAGCGATCGCCTCTTTAACAAAACCAAAAAAAGGAAAGAGAATTCTTTTAAAGAATAGCCCGGCCTTCCTAGCAGAGCCAAGGGGGGGGGGGACCGGGCAGTGCCAAGAAGAGGTGGCGAAACGAAAACGCAGCGTCTCGGAAACCGATCCAACGCACAGCGCCATCCTTCCTTGCCCGGGGATGCGCATCTTTGCATTTTCCTCAATCCTTGCCCCCCCCCCCAACAAATCCTCCCTATAAATAAACTCACATTCGCGATCCAGGCGCGGGTCTCTCTTCTTCCCAAAGAAGATGAAAAAAGGAGGGGGGAGAGAAGGAAATAATTCCCCCCCCCCAAGCAAAAATTTCCAAACCCACGCGGACCCCTTTTTTCCAGCATTGCAGGGGGCTGGGCTAGATGATCCTCGGGATCCCTTCCAATCCTACGATGGCCAGGCGCGCGCTCTCTCCGGCCCGGAGCAGGTGCAATTCCCACGCAGGCTGGCGCGCAAAGTTCCTCTCGCTCCGGGCTGGGGTTGGCCGGCTCTGCTGCTGCCTTTAACCCGTAGCGACGCCCCTACACCGGGTTCCCAGGGCTGCTGCTGCCGCCGGCGCGCCCGAGAACTTTCTCCGCCTCCCGGTGCGCGCCGGCGGCGCCCCGCGCGCCTCTCTCTCGCCGCCGCCCGGCGCTCGGGCACTGCTTCCCTCGCTACAATGTTGTTTCATTATATCGTGGCCATCATGTGACGCCGAGAGGCCTCGCTATGGAAACTTCGGGGACTCCCACGTGACTCTGCAGCAGCGGCAGAAGCAGCAGCGAGCCAAAAAAAGAGGAAAAAGCCAAAACACCAACCCAGAAGCCCCAAACCACACCATCATCTCGCCTAACCCCCGCCGACGCAACACGCCGGGCTGTTTGCAACAGACCACCAGCATCACCAAGTTTTGTCTGGAGGGAAACGAGGAACAACAACAACAGCAGGGGGGGGGGACCACACCGAGATCAGAAACAGGAGAGGCACCAGGAGGAATCCGGCGCAGACGCCTTTCCCAAAAAGCAAGAGAAGAGGTGTACAGTAATGAGCAAGCACATTTGCAAAAGGGGGGGCGCCCCTGGAGAGTGGGGTGCTAGGGGGTCTCTTCAAGCAGCAGGAATAGCTTCCCAAAAAGTTAACAAGTAAAAAGGAATGGATGGAGGGGGAATGCATTATTATGCTGTGAATGCAATGATGATGATGATGATGATGATGATAACTGGTGGGAAATACGAGTAAATGGGTTGTTTGTTTTTCACCCAAAACAAAAACCTGCCTGTGTTCTGCTTGCTAGGGTAGCGGCATCACTCCGTTTGCCGCTTGGCCTCGGATTGCACAGGGTCTCAGCGCAGCCCCTCTCTGAGCAACTCGGGGGAACGGTGCCTTCTGGCATAAAGGAAACGCAGCTTTGCTCTTCCGCAGCTGTATCGGGCCTTTGCAGTGCTGACAGAAGCAGAAACGAGGAAGGAGGGAAACTTGTGTCGAAAGAAAGGGGGAGAGAAGTTACAGCCTGAAGCAGACGGGACCTGGAAGATGGGCTCCGCAAAATGTCGCTTCTGCAGAACGCATCTCGCAGTTGATGGTTTTGTTTTAATCCAGGTTCATAAAGTCAAGAAATGTGTGCCCTCTCTTCTCTGGGCCATCCGGTGCGTGGTTTATGGACCTAAACCTAAACTCGAACCTGGTTTATCCCCATGGTTTAGGAGCATAACCTGGAGGCATCACATTGGCTGTCTCTGGTTTAGAGACTTCAGACATATGCTTTCAGCATCAAGACTGTTTGTCTTTGCAAGCCCATATTTAAAACCATGGATTGAACATTGATATCCCCTGTGTGATCGGCTTAAAAGGCCCATCTAGGCCAGCATCCTAGATGGCCAACCGGATGCCTACAGGAAGCCCACATCAAGCCTAAATTATTTTCATCCTTGTCTGCTCACACATTAATGCTCACTGGTTGATGCGTCAGCGAGTGATGAGGCCAATCAGTTTGGTTTCAAGCCATATAGACATGGAGAAACTGCCTTTCAGTCCCAACACAGCCATGGGTTTGTTTCATGGATTTGAACCTGTCTCCCAGTCTCAGCCTTGTTTTGATGTAAAATGGGAATCATGATCTACTTCAGAGTGGTAGCATGGGGACTAATTATACGAGACATCAATTAGATGCTGCCTGTAAGATCGTTTAGAACATCTAGGGAAATTCTGCTTGTGGCACCGCACCCCACAGAATATCATAGGGTAGTGACCCCAAACCATTCATTTTCTGTACTGTGGATTGGCCTTCCCTTTGCCATAAATGAAGCTGCAACTATTACGGTACTTGCTTCAGGTGTCTAGTAAAGGCTTGTTTTTTTGCCTAGGCTTTCCCTGACCCTTAAGATCAAAATTATGTATTTTATGTGTTTGAATCTTCTGGTTTTGTTTTGTTCACTTTTATCAGTTTTTGTACCATTGATTTATTATTTTAGGTTGTTGTTTTTCTGTTTTAATGGGCATTGGTTTTATATTGCACATAGTGTATACTATATACAGTAAGAGGTTTGGAAATCCTTTTAAATCACCAAACATCTTCTTGTCATAAGCTTGAGGAAATACCTGGTTTTTCAATATAAACAAATAATCAGAACTTCATTATCCAGGTCCCTAGAAAATGTGGACCCATTAATATTTCTGTTAAACTATGTAAAATATGTTATCCCAGTGAAATATTTTGAAGCAGACCTATATTATTTAACTCTCATGCCTTTGAGAAATATTAGCAATCACATTTGGAAATGTAACAAAAAATAAAAGGGTTTTGTAAGAGTATTGGCAACAGCAAAGTGCCACGTTATCAAGACTTGGGAAAACTATGTCAAAATTACAAACTGTTAAGGGTTACAGTAATGCATTGTATTATGCAAAAATATTAATTTGATGATAAGTGTTTACTATGGTCCCATGTGATGTAAGCCTAAATTCCTAAGCTGCTGTTTGTTTATTGGATTCAATGAGTTGTCTCATACTGTAAGACTGTTTCTGTTGATCACAGCGATGACAACAACAACCTGTTTCAGCACTAGGTTAATACCTCTCTTGTTTATCCAAATTTCTCCATCTCTACAATGTGTTTTAAGTTTCCACAGTGAGGTTATTTAGCTAATTAGACTTTTGCTCTGAGCAGCAAGCTGGAAGGTTCAGTGACGCTTCTGAAACAAAACGTCTCCCTTCCACTTAAAAAGTAAAGGTAAAGGGACCCCTGACCATCAGGTCCAGTCATGACTGACTCTGGGGTTGTGGCGCTCATTTCGCTTTATTGGTCGAGGGAGCCGGCGCATGTGGCCAGCATGACTAAGCCGCTTCTGGCGAACCAGAGCAGTGCACAGAAACACCGTTTACCTTCCCGCCGGAGTGGTACCTATATATCTACTTGCACTGGTGTGCTTTTGAACTGCTAGGTTGGCAGGAGCTGGGAGCGAGCAACGGGAGCTCACCCCGTCGCGGGGATTCGAACCGCCGACCTTCTGATCGGCAAGTCCTAGGCTCTGTAGTTTAACCCACAGCGCCACCTGCGTCCCATTCCACTTAACGTATTGACCCCTTCCACTTAACGTATTGTTATTTCTGAACCCTACTTTTTCCAAGCACCCAGCACATTCTCTCGCACCCACTAAGACATTCCCATTCCCAAATTCTGTGCTGGGGAACTCAGAGATGCATGAGGGGTCAAAAAATGTGACTTGAAAAACTAAGCTGGCTTGTCACAATTCACCCACAGCAGTACGATCGGTGGAAAAGCTAGGCCTGGTGCAACACTGATTCCCTCCCTAGCCTCTTGCCAGTATATGGGGAGTGTCACTTGGATTTCCAGTGCAACTGAAAGGCATGAGAGAATTTCGGAAGCATCTCACCTGCCCAGAAAGCACTGCCTCGTCCCTGAGCCTTGACTGATTAGTAAGGAGAAGACAACTTTCCCCTAGTCACAAGGATGAAGAGAGAGGGTTGAGGAAAATCTGCGTGCATCTTTCTGAGCATAGGCATGCCTCAAATTTTCCTCCATATTTTAAAAAAATGCCCCAAGTATCAAAAGCTTGGGAAACACAGCGGACGGAAATCTTGCTTGCCGAAATCTCTGTGCTGCAGAAAGCGGATGGGGCGAGGGTCGGCTGATCTGTGCGGGAGATCAGTCACACTGTTGCTGTTCCTACAGTGGTGCTGAAGTTGACTCTGCTCTGCTGAAATAATGTGTCGAAAGGGGAGAGGTGGTCCACTTCCTAAACTGCTTGGTGGAGTCAGAATCTCTCTCTCCCTCCAGATTTTCAGCTGCTGGGCCATACGCAAGGAGGCTGACATTGTGCAGGCCTCAAAAGCTGCAAGGAAGGCCATTGCAGAAATCTCGGATCGCGCTCTCAACTCTACCAAGCCAATGTTTTGCTTGCATTGACTTGACCCCATATCTGCTGAGCAAAGAAAGAGGCCAAGTGGAACTAGGTCGGGAAATTTCGTGTTGATTCAGCCCATAACCCTAATTGCATCGAGTCACATAACAACACATACACACAAATAAACCTCATGAAGAGAACCATGCTGAACCCTATCAGCAAGATTCCTCATTCTGCGCCCCTGTGACAGCAAATAACATCGTTATTTTTCCATTTAAAATGTGTATACATTATGGCAGATGTATTGGCGGTTGGCACTGAGGAAGACTGAGTATGTTATTAGTGGGAGAAATGAGACTATCACATTACATGACTTTTTCATATTTTCATATTTTTGGCAGGCACGGCTGTAGAAAAACTACAGTCGGATCCCAGCCGCTAATAAGATATTCAGTCTTCTTCAATACAAGTCAGTGCTGGACTTTGGACGGTTAGAGGGAAGAACCATTTTTGTCCGATCTCCTTACAGCAAAAGAGTGACCCCAAGTTTGCAGTCCTTTACCCATTTACCTGGGAGTAAGCCTCACTGAATTCAATTGGGCTTGTTTCAGAGTAGGCATATATAGGATTGGACTGTAGGTGCTGCATTTAATCCCTGAATCTTTTCCACAAAAGCACTTAGGATCAGCATTCCCCAACCTGGTGCCCCTCATGGGTTTTGGTCTCAGATTCTCATCAGCCCCGCCAGCATAGCAAACAGATATTAAGTTGAACAACACCTGGAACATACTAGATTTGGGAAGTGTGTGATAGCCAGAGATATGTATGGTTTTACCTGATCCAATATGGACTAAAAAGTAGTTGTTTCCCTCAGTCCACTTCCCCTTAAACTGGGACAGGGAATGCATTTTTCCCTGTGATGATTTCTGCTGTGGTGTATGCACCACCTATAAAAAAAAAGTATAATTTTCACCCCACCCATTTCAGGAGAATTGTTTTCAATCATTTGCACCAAACTGGCAGCACAAAATCATATGCATGCCTCAGCAGAAATAAGTCCCACTGAGTTCAATGAGACTAATTCCCAGATAAGTGTGTAATGGTTTGCCACCCCAAACAATTTGGAGAAGGTTCCAGCCTAAGCATTACTGACATCCTGGGCCCAGATGAAGAGGACCGATTTCTCCTTCAATCGGGTAGTAAACAGAGAGTTTGCTTTTTACTAGAGTCTGTAGCTACACTTGGTGGGAAACTGTATTCTGTTCATCCGGTTGGAACTTTCAGTGGTTTTCATTGTGGTTGACAGAACATGAGGTGTTGGGTGTGCAGCTAGGTGGCCTAGAAGGTGTTCATGGAACCAACTAGTGTGTGATTCTGTTTTGTCCTCGAAGGGCAATCCTAGAGCATGCATGTGCTGGGCCCGGGAGTAACCTGTGAAACACGGTCCAGGACTGGTCCAGAATCCAAAGGTTCCGCTGGGAGTCAGTCCGACAGGGCCAAGGCAGGACACAAGGCAGGAAACCAGGCAAGGACAGGTACAGGATCTCAGGCAGGATCTAGAATACAACAATGTTGCTCCCGCAACCTGGGGCAGGGTCCGACAGCCTTTTATCTTTGTCGGGGTAGCGGCCGGTCCTGATCCCCCGACGACTCACCTCCCTGTTTCGCCCAAAGGCAAGCACTCCTCCTGCGAGTACTCAGGTCTCTCCTTCTCTCAGACCTCAGTCTCTGCAGCTCAGGAGACGTCGGTGGGTTACTAGACCCAGGGGCAGCCTCAGCCTCCCCTGACCCAACTGGTAGTAGAGCAGCTGTAAGTGATGGCCCAGCTGAAGGCAACGAGGTAATCCCCACATCTGGAGCCAGGCTCAGGCCCCTGACTCGGCCCAGGTGGTGCTTGTTGCAGGGGAACCTCTGCAGACTGGGACTCTTCAGGATCAGGCCCCAGACTTGGTTCAAATGATGCCCGAGGCAAAGGATCTGGTGCAGACTGAGTCTCCTCTGGTTCCGAGTCCGAGCCCAAGACCCAGGCCATCACAGTGCGGACGGCTGGCAGTTCTGCAGAGCATCTATGTTCCCCCTAGCAAAGCTCTTCAAGGCTCCATCTTGTCCCCAGGTAGTGGAGGAACAACCGAGATGGTTAAACTAGAACCACAGAATTGTAGAGTTGGAAGGGAACCCGAGGGTCGGTCATCTAGTCCAACCCCCCCTGCAATGCAGAAATCTCAGCTCAAGCATCCATGGCAGATGGTCACCCAACCTCTGCTTCAAAACCTCCACGGAAGGAGAGTCCACCACCTCCCATGGGATACCATTCCACCGTGTCCTATATCTATCTTTCTATCACCATGATGATATTGACAGTTTCATTTTCCTAGCCTAGGACCCTCGTACCTACGGGACCGTCTCTCCTGGTATGCCCCACGGAGGACCTTAAGGTCTGCAGATAATAATACCCTGAAGATCCCAGGCCCCAGGGAGATTAGACTGGCCTCGACCAGAGTCAGGGCCTTTTCGGCCGTGGCCCCAGCCTGGTGGAACGCTCTCTCACAAGAGACCAGGGCCCTGCAGGATTTGACATCTTTCCACAGGGCCTGCAAGACAGAGCTGTTCCGCCAGGCCTTTGGCCGGGGTTCAGTCTGATTCTTTTCTTTCTGTATAAGAACAAGCATTAAAGAGGCCTCCTAGCCTGCTCATGGGTCCTTTATAAGACCAGCAGTAACAGTTGGCCCTGGAGAATATTAACCACTCTCAGTTTTACCCATGGACTGCCACCTGTCCAGATTTCAATTTGCTCTGAACTAATTTCAAGATGTATTTTAATTAACTGATTGCCTGTTCTTACGTTCTTTGTATACCGTGTTAGTTTTATGATGTTAGCCGCCCTGAGCCCGGCTCTGGCCGGGGTACAAATAAAAAATTATAATAATATTATTATTATTGAATCCACCGTGTTATGTAATGTAAACATGCTGATACGTTTGGAAAGGCCCACTGGGTCTTGAAACCTGAGGCCCTGCAGTAAGGGAGAATTTCCTATCGTTCTGTGATAGCTGCCTGTTCAGCTTTTCCTTGACAACAAGGGAAAGGGAAGCTGCAAAGTTGCTTATTCATCTTCTCTCTCTGTTCTTTTAAATGGGAGGCTTTTAAAACACCCTTAAGCAAGGTCACGAAAGCAAATTAAGCACAGCCAGGCCAAAGCTGCTTCCCGCACCCCCATTCTCAACCCAAAAAAACCCAGTACTAATTTTGCTGCGTCATATCCAGTGGGCAGAGGAGAGAATTACCTGATCACAAGATCTGTGCAGGATTAGAGCGTGGCGGAAGAAATGCCAGCCAGGGAGAAGACAGCCGGCAGCCCAGATGAACTCCGAGGTGCTCCAGGGGTGCTTCTGCTGCCGAGAGGACTTCAATAGAGGAGAGAGAGAGAGAGGAGAGACAACGCTGTGATTTCCAGGCACTCCCTGAGTTTTTCCTAGGATGGTGGGAGATTGGCAGGGAGCAAGGCGACAGCAGCAAATGATTCATAGCCGGGGCTCCAACGGCTGATCTGCACAGCTTTATCTTATCCTCTCAAGCCAAAGCATTTCAGGTTTCAGCCAAGAAGGGGAAGAGGAAAACAAAACAATGCGTCCCTTTAAAAGAAAAAGAGAATCTCGTTTCGCTTTGTTTTTTTTCCATTTTGCTCGTAGTGTTTTGGAGGCCCTTGGACGGATTGTTGTTGTTGCTGCTGCTGTTGCTGCTGCCATCCCCTCCTACCTCAGCTGCCAAAAATAAAATAAATAAATAAGAGGGCTTGTTATAAAACCATTTCAGCCCTGCCTTCTGAGCCTATTTACGTAGTTGCGTTCCTCTTTCCTCAGTGGCGGTGCAAAAAAAAGAAAGAAAACAATTTACCTGGAAAAGGGTTGAGTCAGAAGCCGGAGGAAAAAAAGAGAAATCTGGAAAATTGCGCCCCGAGGCCCTCAAAAGTCATGGATTCGACATAATACAGTCCCGGCCCAAGACATTTTGAGGCCTGAGGTGCTGGGAAATCCAAGTGGCGGCCCCTTCCGCTGGTTAACAAGGGGCCCAGTGTCCACAGCGAACTTCTCCTGTCCCTCATTTAAGTGAATGGGAGCTGTCCTTGTGTGTCTTTAACACAGTGAGATACAGGGAGCCTCTAGCCTTCCCTTTGTTAATGGGACTCCAACTCCCATCATCCACAGCCAGCCTGGCTGATGGTCATGGGAGTTGAAGCCCCAACAGCTACTGGAGCCCTGCCTTAAGCTGTTTTTCTAGGAGAAGGCGAGAGATGTGTACAAGGAAGTTTCAGCTACAGAAAATCCTCCTGTAGAATATAGCGTTAAGCCCATCTTCAGTTTTCCTTTAACATCAGAGACGTCCCCTTCCCAGAGGATTGTTCTCTTGGACCTCTCTGCCTTCCACTGGTGTCGTTCGGGGAAACCAAAATCTGTCAGCCTGGGCAGTTTGCATCGCGGTTTTGTTCCCACTGAGAATGACGCCTGAAAGTGGTCTTTGCCAAGTTAATAAACTCGCAGCTCTGCTATGCCGCTTAATAAATACTTGCACGACCGCAGAGTTCTGACCGCGGCAAAATGGAAGAGTCATGAAATCCCCTCTATACAAGATTGGATCCAAAAGCTGACAGAATATGCCGAATTAGATGGTCTATCAGAAAAAATAAAGAATAAATCAAAACAGGAATTTGTTTCAAAATGGGAGGTTTTCAAAGAATATCTGAAAAATAAATATAGTAGTTTAAATTCTGTTGCAGCATTCGAGGAACTTCAGTAATAGTTGCAAGGTAGATAGAAGAAATTAGATATATTAAGAAAAATTTTAATTATGATAAAAGTGTGTATTGGCAATAAGTAATATGAAATACAGTATGGAGTAGACGGGAGGTTGGGTCTTTAGTGTTAAGACCAATATATGTTTTATTGTTTGCTAAGAAAATTATGTGTCTATGGTTATTCCCGTGTGTAATTTGGTATTTGTGTTTTTTTCTTGTTTCTTGCTGTATCAATAAAAATCTAAAAAAAAGAAGAAATATAAAATAAAATAAATAAATACTTGCACAACCAGATGCGCCTCCTCTATATTAAAAGAAGTTATTTGCACTTAGAAAAATAGCATTTCAGGGAGGAGGTGAGGATGAAACACTGCTTTTATGCTCTCTGTCTCCCCCTCCTAGTAGGGATATTCGATCCCTTTCTGACAGCTGAACTCATCTGTATGTTTTGGCAAGAACTTCCGATCATGAAAGGGGACACCAGTGTATCACACGCCCTGCCTGGTGGAGTCATGCAAGCTACTTTGGGGCTTGTTTACATTATCAGTTATGCTGCAATAACTGAGTTATGTCCACTTCTGATGGTGTTTACAAGACCAAAGGTTACTCAGAGACTGAAAACGGTTGAGAGCATGTGTGTGTGAGAGAGAGAATGAGAGCGAGATAATATGAATGACTGCAGTGCCATTGCACAGAAAAGCAAACAGTGCCTTGGCTTTCATTGACAACTGTGTTAAGACAGGTGTAACATCTCTCTAGATCTGTTAAGGCTAGTTTCACCTGATCTACTCCAAATGGAACTTCTTCCAGGCACAAACTTGGAAACAAACAAACAGAAAACCTGCTCTGTAGCTTTTGGGAGCGTTTCAGATTTGACCTGGAGAAATGCTGGCTGAGGACCATGGTGATTGGCTAGCATCTGGGACATCACCAACACAGCACTTTCTTCCCCACCAGGCCCCAATTCTCAAAGCAGTTTTGCAAATAATTGCAATGTGTATATATAATGTTGTGCTATCATTTGCAGCTAGCTCCTGCTGGGCTGAAGCTTGCAAGCTGTGTACATAATCTCTATATAATTATTATTATACTATATATAAACAAGGTAAAGGACACTGGACGGTTAAGTCCAGTCAAAGGCACTCATCTCGCTTTCAGGCCGAGGGAGCTGGCATTTGTCCACAGACAGCGTTCCAGGTCATGTGGCCAGCATGACTTAACCGTTACTGGCGCAACAGAACACTGTGACGGAAGCCAGAGCGCACGGAAACGCCGTTTGCCTTCCCGTCATAGCGATACCTATTTATTTACTTGCACTGGCATGCTTTCAAAGTGCTAGGTTGGCAGAAACTGAGACAGAGCAACAGGAGCCAGATGGCCGAGTATAAATAATAATAATATTATTATTATTATTATTATTTTATTATTATTATTATTATTATTATTATTATTATTATTATTATTATTATTACTTTGTCGCAGGGATTCAAACCTGCAAGCCCAAGAGACTCAGTGGTTTAAACCACAGCGCCACCTGTATCTTATTATTATATATCCACCTGAAGAGTCAAGCCATGGGTAGGCAAACTAAGGCCCGGGGGCAGGATCCGGCCCAATCGCATTCTCAATCCGGCCCACGGACAGTCCAGGAATCAGCATGTTTTCACATGAGTAGAATGTGTCCTTTTATTTAAAATGCATCTCTGGGTTATTTGTGGGGCCTGCCTGGTGTTTTTACATGAGCAGAATGTGTCCTTTTTAAAAAAATGCATCTCTGGGTTATTTGTGGGGCACAGAAATTTGTTCATTTTTTTTCTTTCAAAATATAGTCCGGCCTCCCACAAGGTCTGAGAGACAGTGGACTGGCCCCTTACTGAAAAAGTTTGCTGACCCCTGAGTCAAGACCTCTGCCTGCCACCTGAAGGTGAGGTGTGGGTCAGGTAAACCTGGAGGCAAGGTAAAATCTGGAGTCTGGCAGCCCCAGCTTCCATGAAGGAGGTAGAACCTCAATAATTCTGGTGCTCAAAAGCTTGCACTGGCTGCCCAAATTGTACCAGGTGAGATTCAAGGTTGTTTACAAGGCCCCTTAACAACGAGTCCAGGATACCTCAAGGACCACCTAATCCCTTACTTCCCTGCCTGATCACTGGGGTCTTCAGAGGAGTCATTGCTGGCGGTTCCCCTATGTACGGTTCATATCCATTGGGACGGTGGGCCCAACTTCATGGCACTCCCAGTTGAACTTCCACAGCCTCCTGCAGAGCTTATTTCAGCAGGCATTTTTGCCGAAGTTTGACATTCATATTTTCAACCCTTTTCCTATATTTCTCGTACACGGCTAAGGGATGATTGTAGTTAAGTGGCATGTATGGTAAATTCTTCAAACAAACAGCATAAAATAAAACAGAAACAGCAGGGCATGATGCAGGAATATAGAAATAAAAAGAAAGGATTCCTCGTTCCTATGGGGTTTGAAAAGAAATACAAGGTTCCACCCTGGTGTTCATTAAACATTTTTATTCTGACCTTGGAACAGAAAAACAACAACCATGTTGATGTGTAGTAGATCACAATCTTTATTTTCATTCTGAGCAGCTGGCTGGTAGTCTGTGAGCAGGGAACCCATGACTGATGCCAAGGACTTACTTACATTTTAATTGATGTGAAACATTTTTAATGACAAAGTAGTAGTAATAATAATAATAATAATAATAATAATAATAATAATAATAATAATAAATTATGCATACCTCGCCCATTTGGTTGGGTTTCCCCAGCCACTCTGGGCAGCTCCCAACAGAATATTAAAATACAGTAATGCATCAAACGTTAAAAGCTTCCCTAAACAGGGCTTTCTTCAGATGTCTTCTAAAAGTCAGATAGTTGTTTATTTCCTTGACATCCAATGGGAGGGCGTTCCACAGGGCGGGTGCCACTACCGAGAAGGCCCTCTGCCTGGTTCCCTGTAACCTCACTTCTCGCAGCAAGGGAACCACCAGAAGGCCCTCGGAGCTGGACCTCAGTGTCTGGGCTGAATGATGGGGATGGAGACACTCCTTCAGGTATACTGGGCCGAGGCCGTTTAGGGCTTCAAAGGTCAGCAGCAAGACTTTGAATTGTGCTCGGAAACGTACAGCGAGCCAATGTAGGTCTTTTAGGACCGGTGTTATGTGGTCTCGGCGGACACTCCCAATCAAACTATTGGGTGGTTGCTTTTCACGCCAGTGTGTCAAAGCGAGAGCGCTGCTGCGTTCCACTTCTGCTTCCGGGCTTCCTATAGACATCTGGTTGGCCCCTGTGAGAATGGGGTGCTGGACTTCAGGCCCACCCATGAGGCAAGGTGGGGTTCTCCCACCAAAGAGTACTTGCCCCAAACTTGAGTCTTGGTGTCCAGGTTTCCAACCCCTTAGAAAGTCCTGGATGCGGCAGTATATACAGTTATACCTTGGGTTGAAGTCGCGTCAGGTTAAGCCTTTTCGGGTTGCACTGTGCCACTCACGCATACACAGACGCTCAAAATGACATCATGCGCATGTGCAGAAGCAGCGAATTGCGACCTGCGCACGCGCAGACGTGGGTTGCGTTCGCTTCAGGATGCGAACGGGGCTCCAGAACGGATCCCATTCGCATCCAGAGGTATCACTGTAGCTTCACTTTTACAAGTGCTCTGTTGGGTACCAACTTTTTCTGGCCTAACCAGACCATCCAGGTACAGTGGTACCTCGGGTTACATACGCTAAAGGTTATATACGCTTCAGGTTACAGACTCTGCTAACCCAGAAATAGTACCTTGGGTTAAGAACTTTGCTTCAGGGTGAGAACAGAAATCGTGCAGGAGGCCCCATTAGCTTAAATGGTGCTTCAGGTTAAGAACAGTTTCAGGTTAAGGACGGACCTCCGGAATGAATTAAGTACTTAACCCGAGGTACCACTGTATCCCTGTTTTTCAGGGACAGTCCCAGATTTACAGAAGCCATCCTGGTTTCTGACTTGATCCCGGAATGTCCCGCTTTTGCTTAGGACATCCTGATTTTCATCGGAGAAATGTTGGCGGGTGTGGAGTTATCCAATCCCCGAGCCATCTGAAGGCAGCCCTGTATAGGGAAGTTTTTGAATGTTTAATGTTTTTATATATGTGAGAAACCACCCAGAGTGGCTGCGGCAACTCAGATGGGCACAGTAGAAATAATAAAGTTGTTGTTGTTCTTCTTGTTGTTATGGACTAAGACATCCCTATTTCCATCAGAGAAATGTTGGAGGGAATGGAGTTATGTGACCCCCGAGCCAAGGAGATAAGTAACTATACAACCTTTAGAAAACAATTGAAGGCATCCCTGTATAGGAAAGTTTTTAAATGTTTAGTGTTTTATTATGTTTTTATATATGTTGGAAGCTGCCCAGAGTAGCTGGGGCAACCCAGTCAGAGGGGCGGGGTATAAAACAACAACAGAATGGGACGTCCCTATTTTCATCAGAGAAATGTTGGAGCTATGCCAGTGGCATAGCATGGGTTGTCAGCACCCGGGGCAAGGCAAGTAATTTGCGCCCCCTAACCCGTGGATTTGCGCCCCCTAACCTGTGGATTTGCCCTAACCCCAGATGTTGCGCCCGGTGCGGCCGGCCCCCCCTGCACCCCCCACGCTACGCCACTGAGCTATGCAACCCCTGAGCCAAGGAGATAAGTAACTATACAACCTTTCGAAGGCATCTGAAGGCAGCAGTGTATAGGGAAGGCTTAAAAAAAAAAAGTTTAATGTTTTGTTATGTTTTTATATGTGTTGGAAGCAGCCCAGAATGGCTAGGGCAATCCAGTCAGATGGGTGGATTATTATTATTATTATTATTATTATTATTATTATTACTACTACTACTACAGTCATACCTCGGGTTACAGACGT